TCTTTTAATGATCTTAGATTTCACTCCCGAAGCAAGCATCTCTATTAATTCATTTTGAATCTTATGACTAAGATAATGGTGATGAGTATCCTTATTGTCGACACGTCGAATAAGCTCTTGAATAATAGGATCAAATTCACCCAACATCTCAATTAATCCTAAAAAATTCCCATTATTATTCTGATGGAGCCGCTCATTTGTTCCACGAAAGGCCAAGTTATGCTTAGAAAGGTATTTCACGGTTGCAATCACCCTAAACAACAACTGCCTCCAAAATTCCTTTTCCTTCAAAAGTTGATCATGAGCTACTTTATCAATTGTCTCATTATTTTTTAACCTAAGCCTCAATTCTATCCAAGTCCTCATGCTACTCATATGCTCTGCACTTGTTTCATGTTCTCTAAGTCTGGCACTAAGATGTTCCCAATCATCAAAACCTGTGTTGGCTAAAGAACCTTTACCCATGCCCTTTTCTAAAAATCTTACAACAGAAGCAAAAAACCTTATCAAGCTCCTTCGAATAAATGAGCCAATCTCTATCATATTTCTCTCCATTAGGCAAACTTCTGGTGTAAAATACCGCTGAGAATCTTCTAGAGAGTTTATCTTTAGGCCCTTTGACAAAAGTTAGATCTCTTTTAGGACCATTTTCCACCAAAATGTCTATTAACTTAGAATCAAGAGCATCCCAATTTCTTGGATCGTAAATGTCAAACAAAGCAGAATTATTTGGCTTATCAGCTAAAACGTTGATAACAATGTCCTCTTTACCAAGATTCTCAACCATGTCATTATCACAATTATCGGGTATTTCAACATTATTTTCAACATCTACATCTTGTTGTTCACCATCTTGAACCTCCTTAGCTTCTTTAATAATAAATTTATCAAGAGCTCCTTTTTGAGACAATGTTAACTTTTCAATTTTTCTTCTCTTTAGAAGCTTGTCATGATCGGAAGGGACTTTCTTTGGTCCCATAATGACTACCAAATACCAATTATTCAAGTTCTCCCTTAATCCTGTCATGTTTAAAAATTTTAGGTTAATAATAAATTTACATTATTCCAAATCTTAATTGAATAATTTTTAAACACAATTATTCTCAATTCAATTACTTAATAACTAATAAATCATTCAAATAAATAAGCGAACAACAATAACACAAATAGGCAACAAACTGAACACAGAATAACCAGATTTCACTCATTTGCAATTCAAAGAATAAAAAAATAAAATAAACAGGAAATGGAGCTGGAGTGCTTACCGAGTTACCGAACTGGCTTTGTGCCTTTGTGTAATAGCTAGCTTTGTTTGTGCAATTGTGCTGCAGGTGCGGTCAACCCATCAGGCTATCAGGGAATTTGGCCGCTGGCCCTTGCTTGCGGTCTCCGGCGAACCCCTTCGAAGCAAGCTGGAGAAGTGGAGAATGGCAGATTCCAGCGAGGCGGTGAACCCCTTCGAAGCTTCAACCTTCGCAGTTCGTTCCAAACTTTCGAGTTCCTACTTCGGCGGAATGGCAGATTGAGCCTGCGGTTCCCTAACTCCCGTTTCGAGTTCCAAACCTTCGTTCCTTAATTTTCTTTCAATCGTTCATTCCTGTTTCCTTTAGCTTCAAAGATTAGATGATGGGTGTTGGGCTGAGTAATACTACTAATAAATTTTTTTTTGGGCCTTCCAAATTAAAGGGCCCTGTGCGGTCGGGCTGGATGCACCTGCCTTGGGCCGGCCCTGACTATGGGCCTGCCTTGTGGTAATCCCGTGGAGGTTGGACTCTCCCTAGAGCTTAAGAACGAGTCACAATGGCCTGAACAAGAGGATTCAGATCCATCAGGAGGTCAACCACGTCTGAGCCAATCTAGACAACAGGCGCCGATCCAGTGAAAATCCCTTGGATGTCGGACTCTTCCTAGGGCTTACGTGACAATAGTTTCATAAGGGATGGACATAAGTGGCATCAGAAGAGTCACGGGCACAAAAGAGACATTAAAGACATGAGTTATTACATTAACGTTACAAGAGTCCTACTATAATTAGAGTCATTAATTACAATAATTAAGCCTCCTATTAACTGTACAATACAACACCTATAAATACTCGCGTGCATATCTTGTAAAAAGGGAGCTTCACCAGATGAATAATACCATTATTACTTTCTTTCTTACGATGAATGAATATTTGATTGATCAAGCTCTTCTTATTGGAATTATATTCCTTCATTGAGAGTCCGATCAAGTTAGATCCTCCCAAAAGATAAAAATAATCATCCAAAAGTCTTTCGAAAATTCGTCAAAAAATCCTGTAGATTCCAGCCCAGGCCCTCAGCCAAGCAGAGTTCAGAAGGACCTGAAATCTTTAATTGGAATTCAATTTTTACGAGTTCATAATTTTTTTTAATTTCAGTCATTAATGGCCATTGTGAACTTTCCTTAGAATACAAATAGCGGCAACATTGAGGGTCCTTAGTCCTTGGAATTGTCCTCTCTGCCAGCGACACAAGCCGAAGGGCACTCTAGCGAAAATGATAGCCGCTGCAACCTTTCCCCTCTCCGGCGACAGCCATAGCCTCTGAGACCTTTCCCATCTCCGGTGACCACACAGAAGCACGAAGGAGTGGGTACAACATATAAGGAAGAGGACAACTATCCATACAAGGATATCCCTAATCTCTGTCCACCTTAACCCAAAATCGGTGGATTTGGAGCCATGTTTTTCTTTAGGAGCTGCGGGTGAAGGATATATTTTACAAAAAAAGCTTTGTTTACACACTTTGTCTACACATTAGTACACACTATAAATAGGGAAAAAATACTCTTTATTTTTACCCCTCTCATCTAATCCGCCCTTCTCCCTTCTCATACGCCCCTCCTTTCCTTTTGAGGTCTGGTTTTGTTTCATGTTGCGGTGGAATTTCTGATATCCCTTGGAATTTCTTGCTCATATCTAGCTTAAGAGCAACAAAACCCTCTTTATCATAACACTTCTCTTTCAAAAAATGACGAGTTTCAAAGCCACAACAATGTTATCTACTATAGATCTTCCCAGGATAAAAATACTTTTATTTTCTCCAATGAGAGAACCCAGTATCTCCTTCAGTCGGTTAGCCAAGACCTTTGATTTTTTTTTTAAATCACACTGCACAATGCTATTGGTCTTCAGTCCCCCATATTGAATGGTTTCTTTTTTTGGAATTAGAACAAGGAAAAATAACTTTAAATAATACCAACTATCACCCATAAACCAATAATAATACATACTTTGGAAATGATTTTTTAATAAAACAAATTATTTGAGTACAAACCAAAAATAATATCGAGTCACTTTTCCACAAGAAATCAAGTCATTTAAGATAATAATAATTAATAGAAAATTATCAAATAAATGATATTTGAAAATATAATCACTTATTTGATATTTTGACACTAGTTTTTGATAAATTAAATAACTGTATTTTCATTGAAAAATTGCTCTATATCACTATTGGTCTATATTTAAATAGTTGGTATTATTAAAAGTGATTTCCAAAGTATGTATTATTTTTAGTTCATGAGAGATAGTTTGTATTATTTAGTAATATTTAGATTCGAAGGAAGAGAACATGTATCAAATATGGAAGCACAAAGTCTGGAGACCTTAAGGCCCATAATGTCCTAGAAAGCCTGAAAAAACGTTGGATTCATTCCATTTGACCCAAAGCCTTTTTCCGGATGCATCCCAAAAATTATCGATCTAATCTCCTATGGACAAATCGGTCTAAGCAATCTCCCGTTCTGTGATGCCGAAACCCTTATCACATTCCCCATCACATCCGGTAGTCCTCTTTCTGCCTCAACGTGGAATAAATTAGTGAAATACTCAAGGATGGTCTGCCCCACTTTGTCCCTCTGCATGGTCCACGTCCATCGGCTAACATAATGCCTATCACCTTGTTTTTCTTCCTTCGTTGTTTGACTACGTTATGAAAAATTCAGGAATTTATGCTCCCTTCTTTTAACCAGAATTCCTTAGCATGCTGTTTCAAGAAGAGATTTCCTTTTCCATCAGCGTTACTAAAATCGATCTCACACGCAGAAACTCTGCAACACTTCTATTATCAACTTTATCTCGTAGCCACTTCAATCTTCTTTTACAGGCTTGGATTTGGTGTCTAAACCCCTTCCTTCTCCCAATGTCCTATCTGAGAAGTTCCTTTCCGCAGAAAGAAATTCTATCGCTAATAGAAAGACGGGTGCTATACCCCCAGCCATTCATAACTACCGTACAACAGTCCTCCTCGCTTACCAACTACCCTTTCGGGTAGTTGGTAAGATTTTTATCCATAAGGCATAGAATCGCTAGCAGGAGTCTCCACTGACATAGCATGAGTTGCCATAACAGATTCCACCAGTCATCATTCACAAGTATTATTCTATCCAACTTTTCTTCTACCAAAAAATTTGAACCTCCACCTCTTTCCCACATCCATTTATATCCGTCGAACGGAAAATCTTTAAGAGCGCTAGAAAAAACAACTTCGTAAAAACCCCGCAATCTCTAGGCTGAGTGAGGAATTCGCCCTTTCTTCTCGTAATTATACAAAATATCATTACAATCCCCAAATAATAGCCAAGGAAGACTCTGCTCCTCTGCCAAGTTCCGCAAGAGGCCCTAGGAAGCCGTAGAACCCGGTTAGCCTCCACCACTGCGCCTCTGCCGAAAGCCTAACATTGCAATCGATGTAATTCGAACTGCTGCCCACCACGTTAAGCTCAACATCGTCGCTCCATGCTATCACAAGACCACCACTTGCCCCATCACTGTCCATCCCAAAAAACATTGCTACTTTTCCTTTTAATTAATTTTTTGTGGTTGCAATTATTTCTTTCTTCTCACAATTTTCAACCATCCAATGTTTACTTTATTATTTTCCGTGCGATCAAACTTGATAAGATTTTAAGGAAGGAATGAAGTATATTTAAATTTAGAAATTAGAATCATTTTCTTCCAAAACATATTAGAATCACTTTTGTAAAGTAAACAAAACGCTACTTGCTGAGTCACTAGTATGCTAAAAAAGTCTGAAACTCAGTTCCTCCACCTCAGCTGATACGGATCCACGCACACTCGTTTGTCACTTTCTTCAGGTTCCGACTACATATGTATGGCCAGAATCTTAGGGGATATTCGTTGCCGTTCTCTGTAACGTGTGAATCGTGATCAGCTTATTGATGGCGTCGCAGAGGAAATTGGTCAGTAATACCCTCGGATCGCTACAGTCCAAATGGGGGTGGATCGAAACTCAACGGGCTTTTGCGGCGGCTTCTGCAACGTCTCCGCCCGAACTTCCGCCGTTTGACCACCGCCCGAGGCCGTACAAGGGACCTCTGGCGGATGAGGTTCTCGAGAAGAGGAAGAAGTACTTGGGTCCCTCGCTCTTCCACTACTACCAAAAGCCCGTATGTCAACACCTTCTATTAAACGTTATGTAACGAATGAATTCCAATTCCCCATCTCATGATAATGCTGTAGCCGTTTATTTTTTCTACATTACAAGGTCCATTGTCATATGGTCATGCTTATAGCTATTCTTGTTCAATTCAATTTCGTTTTTGTACACTACAGCACTTCAGTTTGTGAGTTGTATGAGTATTTGAAACTGTCATGCATCTAATAATACCCGTAGTTATTTTTTTGCATTCTGTGGTATTGTATTTTTGAAGTTTTCATGATTTTTTTGATTTCCACTTTCAAAGTTTCCAACTTTGAAAAGGTCTGATGACCTATGTTGCACGGAAACGTGAAATCATGCGGGAAATGAGAAACATCAACCTTTACTCGAAACGGAAATGGGAAACAACCTATGTTTTTAAAGAGTTCCGAAACGGAAACGTACTCTTTCAGTCCTTCCCAAGAGTTCCATGCTACATAGGCTCCATCAGATATTTTTTATTTTTGTGTGAATTTCCTAATCTGAAAGATCATATTAGGTGAAGCACAATCCTGTCCAGTCAAAACATGGGCAAAAAGTAGGACGATGCTACTATACTATATAGAGTACTGCGACTACAGAACCACAAACTATAGCCCATATTTCAAAATGTATACGTAGCACAATTTTTTCTACTTAAAAAGTTGTTTAGTGCTTCTTTCTGCAGAATTTCCACTTGTTACTGTAGAAAGAGATATATTTATTTTCAGCACCATGTCCTTTTTTGAGCTATATAATATGTGGATGATGAAAACTTCCGCCTCAATTTTATTTTTTTGAAACATTTTGTATTCTTACTTCCAACTTTGGGCAGCTGAACATTGTTGAAGGCAAGATGCAGTATTTGTTTGATGAGAATGGAAGGCGGTATCTAGATGCTTTTGCTGGAATAGTTACTGTATCTTGTGGGCATTGCCATCCAGACATCTTAGATGCAATTATGGAGCAGAACAAGCTTCTCCAACATGCTACTACTATATACCTGCACCATGCAATAGGTGATTTCGCAGAGGCATTAGCTGCAAAAATGCCTGGAAACCTAAAGGTTGATATAATAATCTGTTATTCCTTTACTTTCCGTCCATCTAATTGAATACTTAGATATGATTTTGGAATGCGAAAATTTCATTTATCAAGTGAAAATGTGAATTAGGTTTGTGCACCAGCTGAATTTCTGAAGATGAATTTGTATTGAAACTGCAGGTTGTATATTTTGTAAATTCAGGGACCGAAGCGAATGAATTGGCAATGCTGATGGCACGATTATATAGTGGTAGCCTGAGTATGATTGCCTTAAGGAATGCATATCATGGTGGAAGCTCTAACACAATTGGGCTAAATGCACTCAACACATGGAAGTACCCTATTCCACAGGTTTGTCCTGACGATTTTATTCTTCTTTTTGCCTATGTAATAAGTATTTATACATTTCGGAATGATGCATTGATGCATTATCATATTTTTCTGGCTCATTATAACATTTCATTTGATTGAGGGAGTGTTTGCAAATGCTTTTGCTTAAAAAAGCACTTTTTGAAGTGATATTGGAAAAAGTGATTAGTAGTAAAAGTTGATAGTGTTTGAGAAAAAAGTGATTTTGAAAACTAAAAGTTGGTAGTGTTTGGTAAAATAAGTGCTTTTTGTGTACTAGAAAAAGTAAAAAACACTTTTCACCCAAAAGCCGAGAAGCGTTTTTTTAAGTAACAGTTGTCACTTGAAAACACTAATTTTAGCTTTTTTAAGCCAAAAGCCTAGAAACACTTTTTTTAAGCTATTGCAAACACTCCCTGAATTATCTACCTTTCGTTATGTAATTTTGTTTTTTTTCTGTAAAGAGTATCTTACGTAGCCAAATACGGAAATACCTATACTTTTTGAAGTTTCACAGATGTATTAGTGAAGATTATTACAATATATGTCCAACAAATGCCTTGTATGATGTGATCTGTATTTTAGCAGATGTCATTGGCTAATATTTTCTGTCTTTTATCCTGTACGGCTGTATCTTTCTATAACTCAATTTACATTTTAATGAAACTTATGCATTCCATTACATTCCATGTTAGATGTGAAAACCTATTCATTTTGTAAGTGATTCCAAAAGCTTTAATCAAAGTAGTGTGTTACAAGTTAAAAGATAATACTACCTCCGTTCTCTTTTAAATGCAACGTTGGACTTTTTGCACTATTCACATGTTCTACTTTGACTACGTTTTATTTATTAATGTAATAATATATATTTTTGAAAAATATATTATTAAAATTTTCTCATTATAAATTTTCAAAATCTATTTTTTAAACTTTTTTTACTAATCGGGAATTATATATATTAATGGTCAAAGTTGTGCCTCGGCAAATGTGAAATGTTGACTGTTGCATTTATTTAAGAACGGAGGAAGTATACAACGTGGCTCGTGATGGCGTTCTCCTCCCGACAAATTGTAATTTTTTTTCTTAATCTGAAACGTGGGTTCTTTCTTCTGTGGTTATCGATTAATATCAACTCTGCAATACTTTTGCAGGGTGAAATCCATCATGTTCTGAATCCTAACCCATACCGTGGAGCATTTGGATCTGATGCTCAGCGTTATGCTGAAGATGTTCAAGATCACATTGATCATGGTACTTCAGGAAAAGTTGCTGGTTTCATTGCTGAAACTATTCAGGTGTGTGCCTATGCACTGGTATTAATGCTGGAATGTATATTTTGATTATGATGTGTTAGGCTCCTTGAAAGTGCAAATAAGTCTATTTGTGGAAATATCAGGGAGTTGGAGGAGCAGTTGAATTAGCTCCTGGATATTTGAAGTTGGTCTACGATATTGTGCGCAAGGCTGGAGGTGTGTGTATTGCTGACGAAGTACAAACTGGCTTTGGTCGTACAGGAAGCCACTATTGGGGTTTCCAGACACAAGGCGTTGTTCCTGATATTGTTACCATGGCAAAGGTCTTAATTTGTGATCCTTTTTTGTCAGTTCTGCTCCTTTATGGGTCTGTTTGGAACTTATAAAATGCTTGGGAAGGAAAATTAAGAGGAAACTTGGAAGGAAATAAAATGTGTGGCAATGTGGGAAATACAAATTGTTTCAAATTCCATAAATCAATTTAAGAATTTTGTTAAAACACATTTTATTTCAACATTTCAATTACTGAAGACTAGGAAATCTAAATGTTAATAAATTAATGTTATTTCTCATTCATACTTGTATATCCAACGCAAAGCCAAACATAAAAAACTATTTCCCTTGAGGAGCGTTTGCTTTGCTTCTACTTCTGAGAAGTGATTTATTTTGAAGACTAAATTAAAAGTGCTCAATAGTAAAAGTTGGTAGTTCGTGATAAATAAATTATCTTACAAAAAGTAAAAACTAGAATGTTTGGTACAAAAGTATATTTTGTGCAATAGAAAAAGTGAAAAGCATTTTAAAGCACTCTCCCACTAAGCTTTTAACTTTTAAGTGCTTAATTGAAACATAAGCACCTATTTGGCACATAGTTTGAACTTTTTTTAAAGGAAAAAGCAATCATTTTTAAACAATGGAAAACACTCTTTTAGTATTCCCCAATGTTTCATTTGTTTCTCAAATCTCAATTTCTGATGTTTCTACGCCCGTCATATAATGTCTCACACGCACAAAGTATTTCATAATATTTCACTCTAGATATTATCCTATCCAGGGAATTGGCAATGGCTTACCGCTCGGGGCTGTTGTAACCACACCAGAAATAGCCAGCGTAATGTCTCAAAAAATTCAGTTTAATACTTTCGGTGGCAACCCTGTATGTTCTGCCGGTGGACATGCAGTGCTTAATGTCATTGACAAGGAAGAACGTCAAAAGCATTGCGCTAAAGTTGGCACACATTTGATTGGGAGGCTCCGAGAGTTGCAACAAGTACATGACAGTAATTATCTCAAACCTTGCGTGTTATAGACACACTCCAGGACACAAATTTGACATTTCTGTAGAATGATTTTTTTTCCAGTATGTGAGCATGCTAATTCACTTTGTCAAATGGTTAAAAAAGGTTGTCTAAATGATTTTTTACAAAACATTATGGAGTATTATGTAATAACATCTTTATTAAGTTTCGTTCTTCACGTTTTCAATAACCCCAATAAGAATCCCCTGCAATATGGATATCTAATTATATTTATTGAGAACTCCCTAAATTAGTACACTTTTCCAATTTTGTTTAAAAAATCAAACTGAGAAATACAAAAGCAAGGTGATTCTATATTACTGGCTTTGTTTAAAATGATTTACTAATATTTTTATTCTATGGTAGTTTTTTTTAGAAAAGGTGGTGCACAGTATTTTTTGGGATATAAATGATATGAAAATTGATATCCTCAGTAGATTTACCCCAAATTAATATTCTTTCATATGGTCGTGATGATAGAAAACAGTGAGTTGATCTTGAGTATTGCTCTTGCATCTGTAATACCTATATTAAGTAGCTACTGCTTAGTTACTGCGTTTCTTTCCTTTGCATTGGTCAGTAATTGGAGATGTGAGAGGCAGGGGCTTGATGGCGGGAGTTGAACTAGTTACCGATAGGAATACAAAGACACCGGCCAAAGCAGAAACTGGAGTTCTGTTTGAGAAGCTTAGAGGTAACCTAGTTAAAATATAACACTCAGTAACGTGAAAAGGGAACAAGATGTAACAAGATGTTGGTCTCTCTGCCTTCGGTTTAAATAAAGTTCACATGGCATGTTTGTGGATGTAGAGCTTGGTGTTCTGGTTGGAAAAGGAGGTCTGCACGGAAATGTTTTCAGAATAAAACCTCCAATGTGCTTCACCAAAGATGATGCAGGTACTCTCTCAATATTTGTAGTACCAACTTCTGTCTAAAGCCTAAACTATGTCAGGATCTTTCCCGGAGTTGAAAAGTTAGCTGAAAGTTGAACACTTAAATATCATAATGTTGCTAGGAAGAAATCTCATAAAAATTAATTAAAATGTTAGAAAATGAAATTATTTTCCATCAATGAATGCTTATTAAAAGGGGGGGGAAACTGGGAAACCCAAAGTTTCCGAAACCCTACTTTTCTAAGGGAGCAAGTTCCCCAATTCCTTTTAATTACAGACATGACCTTGTTGTGGAAATTTGAAGTTAGGTTCTCGAGGGGAAGGGCAGGTTGAGGGAGAGTGGTTTTGCTCTCCATTTCTTGCTTGGTAGTTTAATAAAATGGGAGAGTTGCTTTTGGAGTTTTCTTGTAACCTTCCAAAACCCTTCAAATGCTCAATTTTTAAATTCCGCCAAATTGGTGGTTTTTGAAAGATAACTAATTAAATGACAATTTAGCTCAGTTTAAAATGAATACAACTTCAACTATTTGAATATGCCATACTTCCGAAGAGATTGTAATTGTAATTCCTCTATAGCCTCCCTATTTCCAAATTTGTAACTGCCAAACAGAAATGGTTTCTTTCACTTCCCTCTCCCTTCCCCTCCCTTCCCCTTAGGCTCTGTTTGGTTGGAGGATTTCGGAGGGGAGGGAAGTGGGTGATTTGTGTGTGTTTGGTTGAGGGAAATAGGGGGGAAGGGGAGGAAAGTGGAAGACTTTCAAAATCCTCCACTTCCTCCCATTCTCAACCCCCAAATCGGAGATAACGACAAACTATCCATCATTTTTCTCCTACGTGAATGAACAAAATGTTATAATTAAAATGTAAAAATTCAAAAAATTAAAAATAAAAAATTCAAAAAATTAAAATTTTAAAAATGTAAAAATTAGAAAAGCAATAAATTAAAAAATAAAAAATCAATAAAATTAAAAAAAAATTAAAAAATTCAAAATTCAAAATTATAAAATGAAAAAATAAAAACTAAAAAAATCACAAATTCAAATAGTAAAAAATCAAAAATACAAAAAATTTATATACTATGACTCGTGACCTTAGGAATAATATTCGTAATAGTTAGAGATGTATCTAATATTTTAAGTAAGCTATCAAATAAAGGTAAATTTCGAAAATATTTTCATTAAACTTTCCTCCCATCATGGGCGGATCCATGTAGGGGCAAGGGTGGGCTTTAGCCCAGCCCAACCTAACATATTTTTATTAGTATAGAAAGAGACTTAATTTTCAGCCCGTCCCAAAACTGATATTCAGCCCAACCCAAACTTAATAGAAAGTTTTCTAAGAAGCTCTAAAAGAGCTAACGTGGTGCGTAACCATGGGCTTGTGGCAACTCAACTCAAAGAGTAATTTATTTATAGGGCAATTAGGAGGGTTAACCATCCTTGAAGGCGGTGTGGGAAAAAAATTGAGAAGAGGAAAACTTTACATACGGAATTACGGAGGAGTATTACATTGGGAGTCTACTATGCAATCTCATCTCACCCACTCACCCACACAATCAATCAATGATAGCACTTTATATTAGAAGTTTACAACATTATTTTACAACATGATTTTATGATTAATATTATATTATTATATTATTGTTACTATTATATTAATACTATTATTATTATTACTTCTATTATTATCATGAGTTTTTTCTAATATATTACTAACATCAAATATTGATATTTTTTTACCCAAGTCACTATGAGTAACTTTTATAAGCATTCTAATTGTAAAATGTAAACATAATTATAATCATTAAAATAACTACTTCGCTTTTTATCCAATATCCTTATTTGGTCATATACTATTTCTGTTGTTGCTGTTGTTATTGTTGTTATTACTAGTACTATTATTATTACTATTATTTTTATATTATATTATTATTACGCATTTTCTATCATCCAGTTCATTATGTAGTTCTAATTTTTGCAACAAGCATAGGCATAACTACTATTTGTGATTTTTAGTGTTCTAGAAATATACTTTTGTTTTAAAGCGACTAAAAAGCACGAAGTCGGAAGGACTAAACTCAATAAAACGATGAAGACACGAAATTATGAGCATGGGGCCCAGCCGCATCGTCACCTGCCGTTCTGTCCCCTACGTCCGTTGTCTATATTTGTTTATGCTCGAACTCGAATTGAATAAAATAGATGTATCAATTCTCTTGTTTTAGTGTTTAAATAGATTTATAAAATTGCACCAAAAATGACTAAATTTTAAGATAAATAAAAATTATCCCTATAATTTATGAGTTATCGACAGGCTCGAGTCTGGATCGAACCGAATATGACTATGCTCGAACTCGGCTTGAATAACTATTCGAACTCAATATATAGCCCGTGTTCGAGTTCAAAAAAGCTCGTTAAGCTCGGGTCATTAAATGAAATTCTAAACCACGCTCGAAGTCGAGTAGTTCGAAAAAAGCTCGATTCCATAACCGCCCTAAGCTGAACTTTTTACTTGCAAAAATAATTTTTTCTACTTAGCCCACCCCACTCTTCATTCCTGTATCTGCCCCTGCCTCCCATTACCTCAAACCAAACACAATTTTTTTTATCAAAATCCTTCCCCTTCCCTTTCCTTCCCTCCTTGACTCTCCCCTTCCCTCCTCTCCTCTAAACCAAACAAGGCCTTAAGGAATGAGAGATCAGCTAATTTCCACTTCTTTTGATTTTATTTCCCACCCTTCCAATTTTAGCAAGATTTGTTTTGTGCAACTTATTTTGATTCAATTTTTTTGCACAGATTTCCTTGTTGACGCACTGGACTATGCCATATCAAAATTGTGAGAACAATTCAGATTTGCTCCAGTGCCAGGTGGATTGGAGCTTCAAGTGTCATTACCGACTGGAAGCAAAATTAGCATACCGCATGGTACATGCTATGTTTCGTAAAAGGCAACGGTTCAGGGTTCAAAATCATTTCTTCATTGTTGCTTCATTATTACTTGTTAACATTGTTCTAAAACAAATTCCAATTTTCTGAACGGGAAAAAATAAATGGTATCCGCCCTTTCTGTATAGATGGAGTTAAGCTTAATCTCACCCCCCACACACAGACACACCCATACACAATGCTCCAATTTAATTTACCAAATGTTTTGAACTTTTCTTTAGTTTCTAATTAGGGTTGGACCCGGGTTGGTTTCATGTTTTGGGCAAGGGTGGAATCAGAACCTCCTTAACTTTCTCTCGAAAAAAAAGAGAACCTCCTTGACTAGGTAAATGGTTTCATTTTGGTTTCAGTCTTTAGCTTATTTACAAAAAAAATCAGAACTTGAATGGGTCGGTTCTGGTTCTATTTTGGAGGAATCTGATTTGATATGGACTATAGACTGGTTCGATTGTCTAAAACCAAAAAATGGAAGCCAGTTCGGTTATTTTGTCCAACTGGTTCGGGTCTGGTTCCGCAAGAGTGCCCAGCCTTAATTTCAATCATTAGTAAATAAAAAAGGTGTACTTAAGTTAGCAAACACAATGCAACAAGTTAGTAGGTTACATTTTTTTTTAAAGAAAAGGAATGCCAATATATTCGAGTTAAATCGCTAGAAGTTCATTATCAAAAATATTTGCAAAGATTGTTGTGTTAAATTAGCTTGCCTAGAAGAATAACAAAAATTGCGTTTTTATTATGGTCTCACAGAAGGGCAACTAATTAACTACGTTCGGAACTTCGGATTAAGGGAAGTAAAAAACAATGAGATTATGGAATTCAGTATTCTTGCATTTGTTGCTATGGCTCTGTTGATTCAGATGGAGAAATGCGATGTTTATAATGCATCAGAATTTGCATATGGGAATGTCTTCCCATAAACGTTTAAGCGATCAGTGGCATTCAATTTTCCCGGTATACAAAGAAGTGAGGAAAGTACTCATAGGCTCATAGCTAAATCCAACTTCAAATAATGAATTAAAATTTTAATATTATCACATCCCGATGGACTTTGTCATCTTTGAATTATGTGAGAAATAATAAAAATAAAAATTGTAAGGTTGATGTTTGTGTATAGGAGAGAGAGCAAAATAAAACACAAATTACTTTTGATGTTTTACAAAATATGAACATGCTGTCTTTTATTTGTAGCACTTTTAGTAAATAACAATGTTTGATGTACTCACTCTTATACCCACCTTATACCCATTATGTTTGTGAATGTTTTTTTTGTTAGTGAATCAAAATGTGTTATTTTGTCTTTGCAAATTTTGCACAAATAAAATATCAAAAAAACTATTTGTACCCACTATTGTACCCACATAAAATTTTGTCTGGTTCACATAAAATATTGTATGTGAAAGGAACTCACAAAGAAAAAAAACTTGGAGTGAGTACAAACATCATTTTTGTTTAGCAATTGTGTTTTTACTTGGAGCATTAACTCTATCAAAATTGTAATATATCAATTCAAATTTGTTTCAAAGGAATTTGCATTTACTGAAGTGTTTGCATTTCAGGGAATTACTTCTAGAAATATATATTAAACCATATACTCCCCCGTTATTTAATTGTTACAACATTGTGATTTTTACACTATTCAGATACCTTATTTTGACCATGGTTTTCTACTAATAGACATAATCAAATCATTAGATATCAAGTTTTTATAATGTTTACTTATACACAATTATATATAATTACAGTCAAAGTTGTTTGCTGACAAACATGAAAGTCAAATTGTTACAACTATTAAAGAAGGAAGGATAGTATGATGTTATACATATTGTTTTCTTGATTTGAATGATATAGAAAAATGACCCTATTTACCTAACAGTGCACTATTTAAAAAGAACGTAGTAGACTAACGGGGAAATGTAAGAAATCAATATACTACCTATTATTCAAGACAAGATTATACTTACTAGTAACAAAATGTATGTATGCATATCAGCATATGTTATACTACGTATCACTTATGTGTATGTAGTATAATTACAATAAGTCAACATATTGAGAATTGACAATCATGGCTATTGGATTCCAAGCATAGATCGAGAGCATTATGTATTTGCAATCCTATTTATGCATACTGTTCTTAACAAAGGAGGAAAGAGTATACTTTTACTTACCCCAATTTCCAAAGAATCCAAAGATACCCAATGAATTGAAAGTCATCACTCATCATGTTCTAAATACTAACCCATAGTGTGGAGCATTTGGATCTGATGCTCAGTGTTATGCCGAGATAAACAAGACCACATTGATCTGAAAATTTAATGGTTCTTGAAGGAAACCAATCCTAGATAAACAAGCCTAAAAAAGGTTCTTGAAGGAAACCAATCCATGATGATTGGTTTCCTTAAATTTTCATCTTTAGCCTATTTTAAAAAATAAAATAAAAGATGGACCCTATCAATTCTGGTCCTAGTTTGGAGAAATCGAAACTGATTTAGACCGGTTCAGGTAGAAGTTCCAGTCTGGGACCAAAAAACAGCAGCCATTTCGGTTCTTTTCCAGTTCCAGTGTCTAGCCCTAATTTCAATAATTAAAAAAAGGTAAACTTGAGTTAGCGAATATAGGACAAGTAGGTTAAGTTGACGTGCACTATTTAAGAACAGGCCTAATGTATTAAAGGCATATGAAATCAAATCTTAGTCAACACAAGACTATGCTTACTAACAATATAATGTACGCATGTATGAATTATGTATAACTAGTTACGTGGTTGTGAAGAGGAATCAATCCCGATCATTGTATAAGTATGAAAATATCCGACGTACAATGATGATATATTATATTATTAACGTATTGAGAATTCATGGAAAGTGGATTCCAAGTTGACATCATTAGATATTCGCAATACTCGGTAAGCACACCCGAACTAGAGGAGATTTTTTTTTCGAAAAAAAAAAGTGAAGCTTGGAGAGGAGATTGAAGCTTAAGTACGAAAACTGGAAATATTGAACACTACTTGGTTAGTAAGGTCCATGAGAAGATTCAGCCAAAAGTGAGCTCAGATTGCGTAGTCGTTCGAGGTAATCCCCCAATGCCACAAGCCCCTGAGCTGCTTGGCGTGTTGTTAACAGCATGCAGATCCGGTTTAACGTTATTTTCCGAAGATTGTCTCCCTGTTTTTTTGGCAAACCATCAGTTGTGTCACCAAAATGATGGGGATCACCAGAGAGTCAATCAATCAATGAAAATGAATGTATTACCTGTTCTGCAAACCTGAATAAATATTCTAACTTCTCTATTGCAGAAGACATCTGCTGGAGGCAATCTTCTTCACCCATTAGGCCAGCCAAAACAGAAGCTTCAAGAAAATGGTTGTGTACAAGCAGTCCTTGCGTTAGATAATCTTCCGCCTCCCGACAATTTACACAAAGTAAAGATATATTATGATGCTGTTCCTCTGTCAAAGCCTCAAGATATGGCATTATAACCTGCACAAATGCAGTGGCATAGCCAAGGGTATAAATCAGGCTAGGCAAGTAGAGAGTACTTTTCAAAGTTTTTTAAAATTTGGGGTGAATCGGGACTTAGCATGGCCCGCCTACCCTGCTCCTGCATATATGTGACCACAACAACAATGAAAAAGAAGCAAACTCATTTTACTTGGCTGGAGAAATGTAATAAACAGCAGGAGTAACAGAAATAATAATCCAGTTTTAGTTAAGTTCTTTTTTTATTCTTTTAATTGGAAAAAGCAAACTCAGTTCACTTGGCTGGTGAAATGTATAACCAACAAGCAACAGCTAGCAAGCTCTCAGATGAATTGAAGAAGGCAAGGGTATGGGGGACTGAGAGAGGATGAAACTGGAAAAGGAATAAGAAGCTAACTAAAACTGATCAAGAAAGCAATGATAGTACTATGAATGGAAAACATCTACCAACTCATAGTAAGATTGCTAAAGCTAATAATACTAAGACTCCAAAAAGAAGACACACCCACATCACACACGCTGCTATTAGAACTTAAATGCCTAGTCCACAACAATAGCTTGTTAAACTTAGGCTTCACTAATCACTCGCCTTTATACCCAAATTACTCATTGTTTCTTCTTTGAAGGAACCCTTTTTCTTAGATATGTATATTTATCCTAAAATTGTTAATAAATTGTACTACTACAATAAGAGCAGAGTGGGTCATGAATACATGAATATACGGTATTGTATGGATTACCCTTAGGATCAGGGACGGACGAAAACCTCCCATCCAAAAGAAAAGGCGCTCAGCCGGCGTCTTCCACAAACCGGACATAACGTAGCAAACGTCTACCTTCACCGCAGTTGCTTTTATGTTGAAAAGGTCAATATAGTGATTCCTGCAACTTTCAAAATGAATTTGTAATTCATTATCACAATCCATTGAATGTAGCAATGCATTCCTCAAGTCATTTGTGTGTCTACTCTGCTCCTCCACCCAGTTCCTATATGCCACCTCAAATGCAGTGATGCCTACAGCAAGCGGTTTAGCAACAGAGGGAGGACCGAGATATAATCCCTGCTGCAATGGCTCTTATTAGACTTCTCATGCATAAATGTGATCAACTATATGATTTATTGAGCAAGTTTTGCATAAAAAAGATTTCCAAGGAAAAATTATCACCTGTTGTTGTTTAACTTGTTCTAGTTCTTGCTCCAGTTGAACCATTCTTCGTTTACTGATCTCCAAGTTCTGAACATAAGCCTATAAAACAAAGATGACAATGCCCACTATAATCGCAATGGTTGCTCATTGGAATAAATCAATTGTTTTTTAGGCTTACTGAAACCAAATCGTTCCTTAGAGGTTAATGGGCTATGATACGATATTAAGACTGTCTTGGAGTGTATACTAAAAGGAGGAGTAGCTGAAGATTTCATGTGTGAGTTTGTATGTATGTATTTGCTCGATTAGAATGCCATTAGAATTTATTCACAATAATAGATAATAAGCAAGCCGTTGAGCATCATAAGGGATCTAGAAAGCATTACGCAGCCATACCTTTTTCCGCAAGCGATGTCGGCGAGAATACTCACGGTTTCGTGCAAGGCGTCCCACTACCTGATTTAAAAATATCAAGTGTAGAAAATTCTTTATGTAAGGGTTAAATCATGCAGGGTCTAGACCTCTTTGTATGTGATTGTTATTATGCTTTAAAGAATAAAAATGTCTGAGATACTCATCAGATAGAGTTTGTATCTCTTAAATGTGTTTGTTACTGTGCTCATTCATTTAATAGTTATGAACTTTTTTCTATTAAGTCAAGTTTCCTGAGTCCAAAACTGTATGACATATAAATCTACTCATTTCTCGGCCTCTACAGACCTGCTTGTGCAGTGTTTTCTCAATTTCCGGTGGAAACAGATTGTCTTCTAGGCATTTCTTGGCCTCTAATGTCATGGTTGCTCCTGGCAAACTTGGGAAGTCCCTAATTCCCATTAAATCTCCTCCTCATGTCCGTAGATTGGATCACACATGTGATATGTCCACCCCTTGAGAGGCGATAGACTGGGTATATGTAGATATCATTTCAGCAGACTGCAATTATAATGATCAGCTAAATCATTTTCAATGCAAAAAATCAGGAAAACTAAAACTTAATTATACTCCCTCCATATCTATTTACTTGACCCACTTTCCTTTTTGGGACGTATCAAAATAAATGTCTCATTCCCTTTTTGGAAATAATCCCACCCAAAAAGCAGCTACAGTATCACTACAGTACTGCTACACCACTGCAGTACCAAAAACCTCCTATTTTACATATATTTGCCTTAAACTACGTGAAAAAGCATACGGGTCAATTAAATTGATACGGAGGGAGTACCAGCTATCACCCGTAAACAGTGGCGGAGCCAGGATATAGTTTGAGTGGTGTCAAATTAATATAACAATGAAAATTACCTTAAATAAGAGTCCGTTTGGTGATCCGTTGTCGTCTTATAAGCAACTTTTTCAGTAAACACGTAACTTTTGATTTTGTACGCAAAATTGTGCATATTCAAAATAAGTAAAATTGGAGTTACTTTTATGACTGAAGTTACCATAGATGACAACTTTAGCTACTTTTCATATACTTTTTTCGTTATTTTTATTAATGAAATATATTTTAAATATTTTTTTTCACTATTTAGCAGAAGTAGCTAATCCAGTCACTTGATTCAGAACTTCATCAATTTGAATAGTACTAGTTGATTCAGCCAATTTCAATGTTACCCAACGGGTCTAAGATACCAATAATGTAAATTCGAAAATAAGAGTATCATATTATTGTTTTTGTTGTGAAGCAGAAAAAAATAAAATCAACGGGGTAAATCGTTGCCCAAATAATCAACGATAAAAATATCGTTGCCCAATGCCAAAAGGCTAAAACCAATTTTATTCCAAGATGAGCTAGAATGAATCCTAACAAGGGGTTTAAATACCCTTTTACTAATTCTTAAACTAGGAAACAAAATCCTAGAAATCCTAATCAACTCCAACTAGGAAATAGAATAACAAAGATCCTAATCAACTTCAAATAGGAAACAAATAATAGAAATCCTAATTAACTCCTAAAAGGAAACACATATTAGAAATCCTGATTAACTCCATATAGGAAACAAATCAGGAAAATTTAAAAGAATAAATATTCATTAAACAGCCCGCAACCAGCCCACGAAGGTGGCCTCAAGCCAGTCCCGCCTCCGGTTAAACCACGGGGCTTCTGCCCCTCTTCCTTCCAGTCCAGATTCTGCTTCATATCAATTCCACTCCCCTTCGAAAAAACCTTGTCCTCAAGGTTGAAATCCGAAAACCGGCTAACATTTGTTCCCGGGGGCTGCCCAGTATCTTTAGGAAAAATTGAGATGTACTCCTCGACAACCCCTTTCAGATTGCCTCCGGGCAGCCGTTCAAAGAAATTGCCCTTAAACCGTGAGTCGAAACGAGCCACCAATGCCTGTGTAAGCTCATCCCATGACATGCCCGACTTTCGTGCCCGTAACTCGGTCAACCAATATAGGGCTGACCCTTCCATCGCAACTACAACGGCTGCCACCTTTCCCGGCGGAGTACAATTCAATTTGAACTGTTGCTCAGCCTTATCAACCCAGCTGATCGGTTCTTCTCCGTTAAATGAGGGCAACATCGTGAGAAAGGTGCTGCACAATCCAATTCCTAACGAGGATGTTGCTGCCGCGTCAAGTGAAGCCACCGACGTTGAATGCTCCTCCGCCGCTGGCGGCGTGAGAGCCTTTGTGAGCACAGTCAAGGAGGAAGTATCCCTGCGCGGCTGTCCGTCGCTGCTCGGCGCAGATGCGGTGGGATTGCCAACGGCCAACCGCGTCCGGGCTTGTTTCTGTCGTGACTTGCGGAACGAACGCCTTGGTAAGCGCTGCCAGGGATGCGGCGATCTCCGCCAGATGCATGTCGTGCTCCTCTAGGGTTTGATTCATCTGAATTTGCTTGGCCACCATCTCTGTCAAACGTTCACTGATAGATCTCGTCATTCTGGCGGGACGGGATACGGCAGGTCGGACCAATTGTTGTGAAGCAGAAAAAATAAAATCAACAGGGTAAACCGTTGCCCAGATAATCAACGATAAAAATATCGTTGCCCAGAGCCAAAAGGCGAAAACCAATTTTATTCCAAGATGAGCTAGAATGAATCCTAAGAAGGGGTTTAAATACCCTTCTACTAATTCTTAAACAAGGAAACAAAATCCTAGAAATCCTAATCAACTCCTAATAGACTAATATATTTAGGAATCTGCCTAATATCTATTTAAGAATACTTTGTATTTTGACAACTCTTCTATTATAAATATATCTGTCATGACTCCTATTGGAGTACCCCTTTCCCATTATTTCGCATGATATCAGAGCTTAGATTTTTAGATACAGTTTTTTTTTTGCATACACAACTTACCTAATTCATTACAGGCACCACTGCGACTCAAATTATCATTGGAAAGACATCTTAAACCCATACAGCCTATTAGGTTATTAATGATAGTCACATGCAAGAAATTTTAAGCAGCTTACTGGCTACTGCTTACCTGCATATGACATTCACCAGCAAAATTATGTACAATTCTACATGTAACAACCATGCAGATCAGGCTGGATTAAAATTATGTACAATTCTACTTGAACTGATATATGTCATCACTTTCCATACTGGTGAAGCCGCCAATTGCACAAGATGCTGCCTCAGTTTCCACACTTTGAAGTTCGGCCTTAGCCTGTCAATATTTGTCAAGAATGCGATGATACTGTTGGCGTGCCTGTGGAGAATCAACCATTGAGAGGACCCTTGAGACAGCTTCATCAATTGACGCATCCACTTTCTGCTTCCGGAAAACCTTGAGTATGTCTTCTTCAACCTCATTTTCATCAATGAACTCTTCCTCCGGTCGAAATCCACGAAGTCCAACTCTCCTTCTACGCCACCTAAGCACTACCTTTTCTAGAACTCCCACAGCCCAGCATACCTTGTATTGCTTTCTAACCTGATAGCCTCGTACATGAGCCTGTATATTTACTACTTTCTGACGGAAAGCAAGGAAGTCCTTCCTCCCTTTCCATCCTCGATATTTCTTTTGGATATCTAAAGCTGCTGAGTTATAATCACGTGTTGAACAGACTGTTAACATGGACGCAGCTGGAACACCCTGAATGCCATTTGAGAAAGTATAATATTCATGTCCAGCTTCTTTCTGTTGTCTCTTCCTGAAAGAATGTGCCCGGAATGCAGATTGTATGCGTGCAGCAGCTTGAGCAGCATTCCTGACTGCAGTTAAAGTGTTCTTTTTAAAAGAACAACTCTACCCCGACAGATTCCAACAATTCTTAACTGGACAACAAAGTTGCTGAGAGAAAGAGAAAATGCTGAAGTAAAGGCTGGAGGTTTTGGACAAGGTTATATTGATGTGAAGCCAATGAAACCCCTTCCAAATTGCAATAATGTGATGTTAAGCAATGTGCTACATCAGGAATGTGGGGATGTGATGAACAAAGAGGCTGCTGAAGCGTCAACGAGCAAATTAGTAGCAGAGGTATGTTATAAATGTAATAAATCTTTGGACGATAAAATGAAGTAATGGTTAATGCAAAATAATACTGTTAAATAAATGTAGGATTTGGTAGCAAAACTGGCTGAAAACACCAACAACTTTGCTTCACTTACCATTGATATAATCAGTTTGGTCCAAGGTGCACCAAACACACTGGTGGAGAATGAGAATTTCAAAATAATTGTTGAAGCAGCCAAAAAAATAGTTAGCCTAGCTGAAGTTTATTCTTTGGACGAACACATGACTCCAATTGGTGAAAATAGTGATGATGATTCTGATGAAGCGTTCTGGTCGGATCCTAACAATATTAGTGCATTAGAAAGAGCTGAAATAGCAGAAATAAGGAGGACTAGGAAAAATATGCACATGAAAGACATTCCAAGCTTCAGCATTGGATTGACACAACCACATGAGGGAAATGACCACTCTAATTTGGGAGGGAGAGGTGATGGAATTGCAGCTCACGTGCAAGAGAAAGCATCAATGGAACAAGTGAGTTGAATAATTTTCTTATTGTAAAAAATTATTAGGAGTTTTAGATTTTGTTTTTTAATGTACACAAGTGTTAATTATTGTTGTTATTTTCGCAGGAAGCTGGTGTGAACGGTGCAGTTGTGAATGAAAAAGCACAAGGATCGAAAGTTAATATCATGTTATATTTAACTTAATTACTCTAATACATGACATGTGCTATTTAATACGTCAGTGCACAATTTTGTTCACAGGGTTCTGATGGGGTGGATGAAGGATGCATTGAGCATGTTAATGAGTCTGGAGTGCAATGTGCAGCAAAGACAAAGGTACGAGCTGATTTTGGTTTTAAAAATGTTTAAGTTATGTCATGTGACTACTTCTCAGGGAAAGGAGAAGTTGGACGATGAAAGAGAGGAACGCATTAAAAGGACACAAAAGGCAGCAGATGTACTCAAAAAGAGGGGGTAGATTATGCAGAAATCTTTGCTCCTGTTGTTAAATTCACCACTATTCGTATGATGCTTGCTTTAGTTGCTCACCATGACTGGGAAATGAAACAGATGGATGTAACTACTGCATTTTTGCATGGTGAATTGGATAAAACAATTTATATGACCTAGCCTGAGGGCTTTGTGGATCCCAAGAGAAGTGAGCATGTCTGTTTGCTTAGGAAGGCTTTGTATGGCCTGAAGCAATCCCCTAGGCAGTGGAACATCAAATTTGATAAATGCATGATATCTTTGAAGTTCCAAAAATCTGTTTGTGATCATTGCCTGTATTTAAAAAATACTTCTTCTGTGCCTGTATTTTTGTTACTCTATGTGGATGACATGCTGATAATTAGTCCTTCTCTGAATGCTATTAAAGATGTGCAGAAATGTCTTTGTGCGAATTTTGCCATGAAAGACCTAGGTGATGCCAAGAGGATCCTAGGCATAAACATTGTTAGGGATAGGAGTAAGCGTACTCTTACTTTGAATCAGATTTCTTACATAGAAAAAGTTTTGAGTAAATTCAATATGTTATCTGCTTCTCCTGTTAATGTCCCTATGGCATCTCACTTTGTGTTAAGTAAGGACCAGTCTCCTAAGACTGCTCCTAAAATTGAGAAAATGAAATCTGTGCCTTATTCCAGTGCAATAGGGTCGGTGATGTATCTTATGGTTAGCACTAGACCTGATATTGCATATGCGGTTAGTTGCTTGAGTAGATATATGTCCAACCCTGGTTTGCCCCATTGGAATGCTCTTAAGTGGTTGCTTAGATATCTGATTTCTACTGTGAAGCATGGATTAATTTTCTCTAAATGTGCTAGTGGTATTGAATTGATTGGTTATGTTGATTCTAACTATGCAAATGATAGAGATAACAGGAAGTCGACCACTTCTTATGTTTTTACTTTGTGTGGCTCTTGCATTAGTTGGAAGTCTCAACTACAGCCTATTGTGGCCCTTTCTACCACTGAGTCCGAGTATGTTGCAGCCACAGAAGCGTTTAAGGAAGCCATCTGGCTCAAACGCCTTGTCTCCGAAATTGGGTTTCTCAAAAAGGGAGTTACCATTTTCTCGGATAGCCAATCGGCTATCCAACTTTTCAAAAATCCTGTATTTCATGATAGAACTAAGCATATTGATGTTAGGTTCCATTTCATACGTGATATTGTTGATGCAGGTGGAGTCAAGCTGTGCAAGATCCCGTCGGAGTTTAACCCCGCGGATATGGGTACCAAGTGTCTTTCTGCTGAGAAGCACTTGTCCTGTAAACGCGTGTTAAACTTTGACTGTGGATAACTGTGGGTTGCCTAATAAAGTGTTTGCCCGTTATGTCTGTTGATATTCCGGGTGACCCGGCGATGATGAGTCTTGTCACAACTTTGTTTTGTTACTCTACACCACCTAGGACCAATAAGGTGGAGAATGTTGGAGGTATTGGTCCTACCAAGGCCTCCCTTCCACTTTATTTGTTGAGGCTTGCACACTCTATTTTATTCTCCCTTGGATACCTTTTCTTTGGTATGTATCCTGATCAAATATATACCTATTTGAGTGGTTTGACTTACCCACTTGGCTGGCCCCTCCTCTGCTTCTGTCCGCTGCATTTCTTGTCTTGGTAGCATGTGAAGTTTCTTTGTATTGCATCACCCGTGACCATTTGTCTTTGCTCACCCGTGAGTGCCTAATAGGCAAGATGTCTATTATAAAGTCAACCCTCCCTTTGCCTTTGAGAGTAGCCTGCGTGAGTATCATCCTTTGTGTGAAGAGAGCAGAGCTCACTTCTTCTTCCTCCTTTGTGTGAGTGTAGAGAGGTCTAAGTGGAGAGTATAAAGTGTGTGCTATAGCTTCCTCCTAGTGTGGTGTGTGAGAGTGTGTGTTGAAAGACCTGAGCCGGAGACGGATATTCGATCCTTACAATAACAAAACATTAGGAGTCACTTTTCCTTTAATCATCTCTCACACGCCAACCTACTACTTCACATTACTACACAACATATTTGTTAATTAGTATTGAATTGAACTATAACTTAATATTGTTGTCGCCGAAACATTTACTCTTAGTATCCATTTATTTGTGGAAGACACAGAGCCAACATTCATACACCTCTATTACATTTCCATAACTTGTGTTATCACTTTTTCAATTTGAGATCACACTTTCACTACCAATACACAAATACACTACTAAAAAAATATTGTAGCTAATTTGTTTTATTGCTCAAATAACTGGTCCAATTGTGCATTACCACAGAAAAGAATATCGGAACTACAAATATTTACCCACAAACTCATATACCAATACCCCACAATCGCTTTCACTTCATCAGAATAACATTGCACTTTTGAAGTTTTCTACCATGCTTTCAATCATAAAATGATTTATTCTTTTCTAGAAATAAAACACTTTTACGCTTACCTGTGCTGCACAAACCTCCTCTGGAATTCCTTTCTCTGCCATTTCATCCTCATTTGAACTATCTGCAAGTTCAATCGAATGATCAACTGTGCTATTCTTCCTTCTCTTCGTCTCGCAGAACCAAATGACTAGCTACTATCTGTCCTTCAAAAGTGAAAGATTTTTTACATAAGGAAATGAATGATTCGAGTAACTACTCCCTTGCCTCCAAAAAGTGTAATATTATTCATAAATGGAAACGGCCGAGTTTTCGGGAAGATGGACATAGAGAAATCAACTGCCATATTCATTTACGATCTAGCCCTTGTCTAAATTAAAACACGTGTTTTGCCTCCAGTTAGAATTTATTCCATGTTTGCATAACGTGTTTGGACGGTTAGAATGCTTTCTCACTTTGCACCTGGCACCCTCTTTGTAGTGGAATCAATCCCGATATATATATATATGTTCAAGTGAGAAATGCATCGAATGTGAGAAATGAGAATGAATCTCAGCTGTTGGATTTTCGATTTTGCACTGAAAATAGCTTGATGTTGCAGTAAGATTTAAATTTTTGCAGTGTTGCACAAAAACTGTTTCATATTGCACTAAAATTTGACAACGTTGCACCAAAACAGTTTCATGTTGCACTTGACGGTTGTAATACGGATTTTTTAGAAAATGCCACCAAACTAGGTTGCATATTTTAATGCAATATAAAGTGTTTTTACTGCAAGATAGTCGAATCCAACGGTTGAGTTTCGTTCTCATTTCTTACCTAAAGGCTTCTTCTTACTTGAACCTCACCCTATATATATATATATATATATATATATATATATATATATATATATATATAGACCAATATTCAGGTCCGGCCAGGCCGGACCACTTCCCCCGTCAGGCCTGCTCCATTTGGGGTCCTTCCCGGTGGTAGTTTTTGCTCCAATTTTTTTGTGTAGGTTCCTCATCAAGTCGAGTTCATCCATACCAAATTTCAGCCAAAAATTCAATCGGAAAGGTCGTCAAATGATTTTTGCAAGTTAACTGGTCCAGAATATGTATTTTCCGGACCAGTTAACTTGCAAAAATCATTTGACGACCTTCTCGATTGAATTTTTGGCTGAAATTTGGTATGGATGAACTAGACTTGATGAGAAACCTACACAAAACTTTGAGCAAAAATACCACCGGGAAGGCCCCCAAAAGTAGGAGGCCGGACGGGGCTCCGGTCAGGAATTTCCTGACCGGAACAACACACACTCTCTCTATACACACACACACACACACTAGTTTTTCTACGCGCATTGCGCGATTAGATAAATGCCCAATGTGATTTCTATACAAATCATTTGCTTAAATATCTACTTGTTATGCATAAACAAAATTATGTGTCATTGTAGTTTTGTTTTATAAGAAATGAATAAGGAAAAGGGTGTCAAAGTTTTTAAAAAGAATGAATCATTCATGCATTCTCTTAGATTTTACTTTAGGGAAAATGGAAACTAATAATCCAACCTTTTAGCGGTCTTCTTTCAATAATCCCACCTTTTGATTATTCATGAATAATCCAACATTTGCACCTCATCTTCATTCACTGGTCCCTGACCGGTTGATGACCTGCTATTCCAAGCTATTTTCTTATCTTTGCAAATCATTATACCATAAATCTCATCTTTCACAAAGATAATATTTTGGAAAGATAAGAAAATAGCTTGGAATAGCAGGTCATCAACCGGTCAGGGACCAGTGAATGAAGATGAGGTGCAAATGTTGGATTATTCATGAATAATCAAAAGGTGGGATTATTGAAAGAAGACCGCTAAAAGGTTGGATTATTAGTTTCCATTTTCCCTTTACTTTATACTCCCTCCGTCCCTAATAACTTTGCCAAGTTTGACTGGCACAAGGATTAATAAAGTAAAAACTGTGTGATTGAGGTTTGTGCAGAGGAGAGAGAATTAACTGGAACCACAAATTCTTTACTTAAAAGGGAAAGTGACAAAGTTAGTGAGACATCCAAAAAAGGAAAGTTGACAAAGTTATAAGAAACGGAATAAGTATTTAACATAACTACGATAAGACCTGTTTAACGTACACGGTAACTTATAGATATTAGAGAGTGTAATTATGAGTTCCAATTCAACGTGGTTCAACTCTTCAAGCACGACACCCAATTAGAACTTCCCTTCAACCTAGGTAAGGTGAGTTCTTCCCTTTGAACTCCATAATTCGGATTTTTAACTCCATATTTAACATTGATTGAAAAAAATATATTAAATTTCTAAAAGAATTTGGAACGGAGGTAGTATTACGTGATATTTATAAATCAATACTTGAAAATGCAATTTTACATTATGGAGTATTTATAAATGAATACTTAAAAAGGCAGTTTTATATTATGGAGTCAGAAACAATTAGTCACTAAACTCCAATTTTTAGTTTATAATCCATTCAACAAACCATCTTTCACAAAAAGGATATACTCCATCCGTCCCAAAATGGTTGGCCAAATTTCTTTTTTTTGGCCGTCCCAAAAAGGTTGGTCATTTCCATTTAAAGTAAGGAATATGTGGCTAAAGTTAATTCTCTCTCCTATGCACAAATTTTAACCACACACTTTTTACTTTATTAATCCACGTGCAAGTCAACATTGGCCAACGATTTTGGGACGGAGGGAGTATTATTGGAAGATTGTTAATGTATTGTCTGTTTCATTTATTGGAAAATTGTAAAAAGTATGTTGCATTTGCAATTTATGATAAATATGAACTGATATCTCAATATTATCTTTTAAGGTTGTACAGGGGTTTTGCTATTGCTTCAAAAAAAAGTACTTTTCAACCTTTTATTAAACAAAGCCAAAACATGTGTTTTTATTTCAAAGGAACCTAAATTCTATGTAGTTTTTTCATACCTACAATTTTTTTTATTGGTGGCTTTAAACTTTAAGCTAAGTAACAAAAAAATTTGAAAAAAATGGTATTGAAGCATGTCGGCGAATAGCTTTTGTGTTGAATAAATGCTGAAATGGTTCCATAATAAAGGAAGTCTACCCACACCATGTAGACATGTAGTACTTGTTAATTACTAATCAAGAGTAGTAGCCCTGTACAATTACACGAGTGAGAGATACTAACAAAGCCAAATCAGTATTAAAACAAAAGTCAATAAATGGAATCCAAGAAACAACTTAGGATGCTTTTACTTGGATCGTTTACAATCCCAAAAAAGACAAGACTTAAACAGATCAGATCAGACCAGACTTAAGCAGGTCAGACCAAACAAAACCAGACTTCTATGGTTATAAAACACACAGACACGAGACATATACCAGAGAAGACCAGACCAAACCAGTTTAGATCAGACCTAGTCAACAAATTTCAATCCAAGTAAAAATATTCTTAGATTAACTAATAAAGTAATTTCAAATTAAAACTAAATTTGATTGGCTAATGAGCTCTGGAGAAAACATAGCAATAAATTGTATGGCCCTAGAAAAGTAAAAACAAATTTCAAACATCTAAAACCGTATGATGGAAATTTCTTTAAAAATGATACCGTAGTAAGCCATTGTAAAACATCTAAACCACTTTTGTATGAGATACACTCAGACACTCCAAACTTCTTTTTATGATGGACTGTTTTATGGAGCACTGCGTTGAGGATCCAGAGAGCTGCTACCTATTTCTCTAGAGTTTTTTTGTTTTGTTTTTTTTGGAATCAAGAATGTTGCTTTCTTCCACTATCAGACTACAGAGGTAAATCGTTTTTTTTAACAAAGTAATTGCTGGAGTAAGACCCATTAAAGAATCAAAACGGAAGGAAAGCAATTGGGATCCGTTTCTAACTTAACGGGAAATCAGCCATACAAACGGAAAATGGGAGTTAGAAAAGTCAATTGAGTGGAAAAAGTATGAATAGTTATGCAAATTGAACAACTTCATATTGATCTTGATGACACCAACATTTTTCCAATACCAATTACACCCCTACCTTTATTAGTGCTTATAATTTTTTATTAGATATAATTTTTTAGATTAGATTTAGATATATAGGAAAATCTTCCAGTAAGGTATATCTTACCGGAGCCGCCGTGCGGCCTCCACGTTTTGAGGGTCTTTCCGGTGGAATTTTTCGATGAATTTTTTAGCATGTTCTTCATCAAGTCTAGTACATCCATACCAAATTTCAGCAAAAATTTCAATCGGGAAGGCAGTCAAACGATTTTTGGAAGATAATTGCGTTTTATATTTATATAAAGGGTGCAGTTATCTTCCAAAAATCATTTGACTACCTTCCCGATTTAATTTTTTGCTGAAATTTGGTATGTCTGTGCCTTTGTTAGTAATATACGGTACGTGAATAATACAATAATACGTACGTTCGTGTATAATACGATACAATTATATAAAATACGGCTTAATATATGTTTCATACTGTTAGACCCTAGATTTTGATGAACTGTTTTTGATGATGCCAAAAGCTTTTGTTTCTCCCCCCTTCTATTGTAGCATTATTATAAGAGTCTTTGTTATCCTCTATTGTAGCATCTTGCAGTTATCTAGTACTAAGAAAAATTATCTAGATATGTCGTGCTCCTTTTTATAGTTAACAAATAAATGTGACTGGAAAACCATAAAATGCAATAAGGCAATATTGAATTGCCTTAAAAGGATATCGTATAAATCCAACCAGTTACATTTATTTGTTACACACAATAACATCTCGTACAAATGAACTATCTATTTTAACTGGAAAACAAAATGCAATAAGGTAATTTTACCTTAATAGGAATTGATATCCTACCAGTTAAATATTTAGTTTATCATGTTCGAAATACTAGATAAACCATACACTCAGAAGAAGAGTTCTTGATATTCTGTTCACTACAAAAGATAACAATGAAATTTCTATATAACAAATAGAACACACTGGGATTCAAAATCAAATAAGGTAAAGTTGTCTTTACCTTAAAATTGGATATTTAAATCCAACCAGTAAAGTGTTATTTGATATACAGATTAAAGTGAACAAGAATATTGGTTAACTAACTGGAAAACAAAATGCAATAAGGTAATAATTTTTACCTTAAAAAGAATTTGATATCCTACCAGTTAAGTTAACAAGATACCTGCTTACAAGTGACAAGAATTCCAATGTACAAACTATGTATCAATTAAACATACTGGAACTACAAAATGCAATAAGGTAAAAATTATTTACCTTACATGGATATTTAGATCCAACCAGTATAGTCTTAATTTGATACATAAGTTTAATCATGTCACTTAAAAAAAAAGTGATTAGTAAAATAAGTGACAAATTTTACTATGA